CCTCGACCTCTCCGAAAGACGCAATGAATTGTGAATACAATTGCTGAAAGTTGAAGTTCGTATGAATCTGACCGCCCCTCGACCATCACTAAAACAGTTAGATATAACTTTACGCTCGCATATCCACGCGATAACACAGAGATGCTCACTATCTGAGAAGCACGGAATGGAGCCCTCAGACAAGCAAAAAATGGCACTTACTCAATGTATGCTAAAAGCCAAATAATTGGAGATCGACGAAATCAACAAGGAGGTAGAAATATATCGATTCTAGGTGAAAAATTCTAGGTAAAATTCAATGAAAATATCAAAGCACGAAACATCCCAAGACCAGTAACTGACGAATTCGCCAAAAAAGTACACGACGAACTGAGACAAGAAATTATAAAGTAACCAATAGACAAGATGTTCGATGCCACAATCGCCGACTTCTGGAAGCAACAGAAAGACAAAAACGTATTCTTTCGCAAGACGGACAAGTCAAAAACGTTCCATTTAGATCGACCAGAAAATTATAAGAAAAAATCAGAGAAATACATGAAGAAGACAAATGCTTACGATGAAATTGCATATAATCCGATAGACCAGATGATTCAAAACACTGATCAGATGTTAAGACATCTCCTCACGAGCAAGCAGATAACACAAAAGCGATACGAACTCTTGAAACCCACACCTGAAGATTGTGAACTACCTCATCTCCACTATAATCCGAAAGACCATAAAATCGGAGAACCTCTACATCCAATAGTGAGTATGTTGAGAGGAATCTTTAGAGATTTTCCAAAGATCTCTGAAAAGTTTTGCTGAAATAATGTTTTCTGTTGGTGGAGAAACTACTTGTTCGTTTGCTTCAAAGGATAAACAGACCCGGGGAGAGATAATAAATAAGTTCCTTCTATTTTTTCCTACCTTTTATGTTTGATAATGTCAAAACTACGCATTAGATTCGTGTTATAGAGGAGAAGGTCTTAGTTAAGGTTAATGCGCAAGCATATAGTCTAAGTAATTGAGCAAGAATATATTCAGGGTTATGGTGCAAGACTATGGTCAAAGTTATTGCGCATGAATAGTCAACATCGGAGAGGATGGACCCTAACAAGCGCTGCACTAGCCAGTGCTGATGGTACAAACAACACAACAAAAGTGCAATCAAGAAAAAGTAGATCAACTACATGTTAGTGAAGATTTGTCAGATCAGATAACCTAGAAGACAATCAGATCATCTAGAAGCGATAGATATGGGTCTAGCGTGGATTAGAAGGTTCGGGGAAGACGCAGAACGCGGGATTTAATTGCGAAAGTCGAAAAAATATCTATCTCGAGACCTAGAAAGTCTATTCAGTCGAATTCTAACTGATTTGCAGTGAGAATACGCAGGCGAAAAAAAGGGTGTCATGGCACTACTTCAGTAAATTGGGTTTTATAAATAAAGTAAAGGGTTCTGAAAAAAATGTTTAGCAAAAGAAAGCTCGTTAGCATCTCTGTAAACTTTCCTCAAGGTACTTTTTATTAGTCCTTCTAAATTCGCAATCCAATGATGAGTAGCTAGAATTTAGGGCCTTTTTATGTCACAGCGCTACTGGTCTAAAGAGGTTTTCAGGAAGCTCGAGTTTAACCACAAATCTTCGTTTTCACAATCAAAATAGAATAGGAAGAGCCGCGTCGAATGGCGCAGAAACAAACTTTCTAGCTCTTATACTTTTCGAGAAAAATACAAGTTACTGTGTGAAAAATGTCACATCGTTATCTTTAGACAAGCCGTAAAGTTCTTACGAAGTTACAACGACTCTCTCAGGAAGAAAGATGAAGTTCTTGCGAACAACATCGCCAATATGGCGAATGTCTGTTGGTGAAAGTTGAATTGGCGAAATGCGACTTTACCGTAGTGTGATTTATATAGTAGAACGAAAGGAGCAAAAAATGATGCATTTCTTTTCGTTTTTATTTTTTGATCCGCACCGTATTTTCTGTGGTATTTTTTGTAGTTACAGGATGAGCAAATCGTTTTTCGGTCTAACTAAATATACGAATAAAGAACTATCCCTTTGCCTAGAATGTGAATGAGAAGACAAGGGAGAAGTGTTCAGAATTTATCGCAAGAAAAAAACTATTGAAATTTCGAAAATCACATATGAAAGTTGAGGTACCATAAATCTTGATATTAGGAACTATTTAGAGCAGAAAAACACGCATATGCACACTCCAGTGAATACTGAGGACAGGTACTGGCGACTGTCGCCGAGACATGTCGTGTGGACATTCGCCAGTCACCAATATGGCGAATGTCTACTGGCGAAAGTTGAATTGGCGAAACGCGACTTTACTGAATAAAGAACTTGTGGAAAAGCAACGAGTTTGTCAGGAATAAAGTCAACTGGTTTAGATTTTCTAGAAGGACCATTTCGGATACCGTTCACGTCTTAGGGTACCCGAGTGAAGCAGCAGACTCACTAGGGATAGTATATCTTTTTTAGAGCTTCCACTACTTTTCACCACGATCATTTCTATAATATTTGTTTGATTTCTAGATGAATATGTGTACGGGGCGGAAAAAGAAAAACAAAATAATAACACCATTAGCCGAGGATATCGATTATGAGTTAAGTGGACTTTACCGAGCATGTCGAGATAACAATATCAACCAAGTGGAACGTCTGCTTAAACGCTTAAAACTTGACGAAATTAATCGCATCGAGCCGAATGGAAGCACTTCACTACACGTTGCTTGTCATTATAATCGTGCCGAAATTGTCCGCATGTTGCTCAAAAGAGGTGCAGACCGATTCATACGGAACAGACATCACAATCTCACTCCTTTCGAGGAAGCAACGGATCCGGTGGTTAGAGGTATGTTTTACTTACTACACGATTCGGAACTATGCATTCGTCCTGATGGAACTATCCCTTGGACTATTATAAAAAATCATTTTACTTGGGACAATATTCGAGCAATGAAATTGTATTTAGAACATATACTTTGTATACATGGTTTAGTGACGATGCTCAATCATCTACGTAAATACTACTTACCACATCTTGATCTTTCGAAAAAGCGTGAACAAGTTGAACGGCTTTTTGACCAGGCCATTGTAGAACGATCTTCGGTCCCGATCATTCGCGCTTACACTCTATCAGAATTCTCGAGAAAAGCGAATGAACACTTGGCTAATGCTTTGTCACAACGTATTCAAATTGATCCCGAAAGAAATTCACGCACAACGTGTGCCTACTATTTAGCATCGATTATTACCTTCACGTCAGATAAAGAGCTTCCACCAACATCATTTGACACATATCGTGGCATTGTCATGACCAAAGATGAGATAAGAAAATATCATCGAGATGATATAATCGTGAATACAGCTATTGTTTCAACGTCGAAAGATCGACATGTGGCTCTCATGTTTGCTAGCGAAGGTGTGGAACAAAGTTTGCGACGTAACGAGAAAATGGACCGTTTGGTCCAAGTGGGTGTCGTATTTCGATATCGGTTTCTTCCTGGTTCGACGCGAACAATGGTAGTGAAGCATGTGTCTGAATTTCAGGAAGAACGAGAAGTCCTTATCAGGCCTATGAGTACATTTAAAGTGGAGAATTTACGGCCTTCGATATCTACGTCGGGTCGTGTCATCGCAGTTGACATGATCGAGTTCGATCCAAACGCGGCAGATAAGGGGAACCTGTATCGACCGACTCAGACAAATAACGATGCAGAACTTGAAGACATGCTTTCAAATTTTGAATATAGTCCACAAAATGAGTTGAATACAATAAGTAAATATCCGTGCGTTACCGGAAAAGATTCAAACCAAGCAGTTACTTCGATGTCAGACGATTATGCGCCTGTTACTACTGATCGCGGGCCTTCAACTCTAGAGCCAGAAGACGCTAAATGTCAAGCAGAGATTGTTGTAGATTACTTCGAGGCTGACCCCCCCGTTTTCAGAGCGATTAGTTCAGCACCAAAAGAAGAACCTGCTGAACGCCCGAGAGAGATTGTTAAAGAGACAGTCATACCTCAATCAAACACCGCTGTTTCCTCTTACGAAGCTGCTGCACGTCGAAGAGAGATTGTTGAAGAGACGACCAAATCTCAACTATACGCCGCTTTTTCCTCGTACGAAACTGCTGAACACCCGAGAGAGATTGTTAAAGAGACAGTCACACCTCAATCAAACGCCGCTGTTTCCTCTTACGAAGCTGCTGCACGTCGAAGAGAGATTGTTGAAGAGACGACCAAACCTCAACTATACGCCGCTTTTTCCTCGTACGAAACTGCTGAACACCCGAGAGAGATTGTTAAAGAGACAGTCATACCCCAATCAAACGCCGCTGTTTCCTCTTACGAAGCTGCTGCACGTCGAAGAGAGATTGTTGAAGAGACGACCAAATCTCAACTATACGCTGCTTTTTCCTCGTACGAAACTACTGAACACCCGAGAGAGATTGTTAAAGAGACAGTCATACCTCAATCAAACGCCGCTGTTTCCTCTTACGAAGCTGCTGCACGTCCAAGAGAGATTATTGAAGGGACGATCAAACGTCAACTATACACCGCTTTTTCCTATTACGAAGATGTTAGTGCGGTTCCAGTGACACATTCAAATTCGGCTAAAAAACAAGATCTGATTTTAGATGATCTATCAACTGCTGATTTAATTACTATTATTCGTCGTTTATCGCGTGAAATCGATGGAAACAATAAAAATAGTTTAACTAGTTTTCACAATTCGACAGATGACGCTCTTAACAGTTTGAGCAATCGCGCTAATACCAATGAAATTATAATGCGTCTATTAGATCAAAATGAAATGTTAATCAAAACTTTATGTAATAATTATGAACACAAACAAAAACAGTCACCTAGCAATCGAAGTTCAACATCTTCTAAATCTTAAAATGATTATACTCATCTATTGGAAGCAGTAACTTTTTTATACAGATAGTAAGCAAAATATTCCTTCGACTTCACTTCCTCCGTTGAATTCCACTGACAATAGAGCATCTACTCCAAAAAAAACCAACAACAGGAAACGGTAATTCAATGAGGAATTCGACAAATGTTACAATTTCGGGTATCAGTATTATTCGAGATCTCAAACAGGGTAATACAACATTTAACAATAAGTCCTATAATATTCATGTTCAAACCAAATATGGGTGTTCCACTGAACATATGAATGAATTAGTCTTAAATCGAGAAAGATTTCGATCGGAAATATTAATATTCTCATTAGGAACAATCAATATGAAATTTGATAAACCTACTGATGCCTTTAATAAAATTATCGTTTTAACTGATTCATTGAAATTATTGTATCCGAACTCGAAATTAGTATTTACGACGATTCCATCTTTAAATGTTCAAAGGATTAAACCCTCTATACGGCAAGTTAACGCTGATGTTGATGAATTTAATTCACGTTTATTGTCATTGCAAGATAATATCATTGATGTCATTAAAGTTGGATATTCAAACAATATGTTACTAAAAGACGGCATTCACTTAAATCACAAAGGCACGACGCAATTATCTTTAGATATAGATGAGAAGATATAGATATAGATGAAAGAATTTTCAGTAAATGATTTTAGCATCAAGGTCATCTCTTTGACAATTCGTTATTGAACAGTTCGACCGCTTCTGTCAATGATGAAACTGACTTTAAAAATTGAATAAATTTTGTTGTCTCATGTTATGCTAACTACAACGGACCACTGCCGTATCATTTATTCTGGTCCAACTCTTAATTATGGTGTAATAACTGAAGAATTAGTCTCAGATGCTGTTAGTTAGTTACATGATACGTCTAACCTAGACACCGACGATATTCCTGTTCATTTCTTGAAACTTTGTACGTCATCCATTTCTAAACAGTTAGCTTATCTTTTTCAATTCTCACTTGAGGAAGAAATATTTCCTGATAAATAGAATACTTCTTTAGTCACTCCCACCTAGATGACCTAGCTAAGGCTTTTGATCATATGCCACCCCAGATTCTGTGACGTTTGCTCTAAATCATCTTCTTCCGAAGGAAAACACCAAATTTAAAAAAAGCCGAAGTTTAAAAATTTTTGAATCTAACTATTCTTACGCAGTTGATACTATTTTGCGTGATACCATCTTCTGATAAATTTCTGCTCTTTAAGGTACGCAGACGTCAGTTTCCTGTCCGGCTGTCATTCGCGGTGACAATCAAAAAATCAGAAGGATAAGAGTCTGATCGCGTGGGGCTGCTTCTACCACAACCAGTCGTCAGCCATGAACAACTATACACTGCTTTCTCAAGAGTTCGCTCACTAAGTTCCATCAAGGTGCAAGTCATTAATGAAAGAGAAACTAACAAAGCAGAAAATATAGTTTGGAAAGAGATTTTGTAAATATGTTGTAATAAAATAAAGTGAAAACCATGCAAATAACTTGTGTTGAAAGAGGGGAGGTAAAGGCTTCAACTGCAACTTTGGTAATCTACTCACCGTTTGGAAAACCTTATTTCGGTGATAAAAAATGGCTATGCAGCATGCACGGGGTCTCGCTAGTTTACAAATAACCTTAATCGTACAATATGGTAGTGACTGACATGCTCTGTCTTCTTTAAAGCATCTGTGTATTGTTGGAACATCCAAGCCCTGTTTTTTAGAACAAAAGCTAGGATTTCCTTTCATCCCCTCATACAATCTTAAATCCTTCACAGAGGTGGAAACGGGACTGAACGTTTTTTGCTTCCACCTTGAGTATCTGTACAAGGTAAAGTTATTCATCATGTAATAGCATAATGACCTATACCAAGTAGGCGTGTATCACAGATAACTTCAAAATTTTTCTACTCGTATGAGATTCTAGTCCAAACATTTATCTACAAAATGACACGCTCCGCGACTCTGAGTAATTCAGTATAGGCGATTCATACCAATTTTCGTGGAAGTCCTAGCAGCGGTTTTTAATGATACATGCCTAATACCATGACACATTGTTATAAAGGTGAGTACCGTGTTTCGATTCTTTCTACAAATGAAGGTTACGACGTTAGAGAATTTTGGAAATTTATTCCGCGGGGTTCTAGAAATCACAAGCTATATAGATAACTTTCGACGAAACGACGAAACGTATTTTCAACTTTATCCCCAGTACAGTTATTTTATTAACCCATGCTTTGGTCTATACGAAAAATAATTATCTTGCAAATGAGCAATGAAGCACACAACTTAACTTCACTCTTTACATCACAAAATCACTTGCAATTGTCGCAATTATCAGTTTTATTCTTTGGTCGAAGATGCGGTGTAAGGTTCAGCTAATGGAAAAATGCAGTAAACTTCTTTCTGCCTTTATTATACATTTTCTGATTCGCCATATCGAGCTGATCTCAAATACCACCATCGCAGCTCTTGAATGCTTTCTTCATGGAGAAAAATGTAAAAAACTGTGAAGACCTAAAAAGCCTCAAAAACCGACCCCATCATAAAAGTGACTTTTTTAAAGTTGTACCCCCCCCCCTCCAATAACAGAAACCTCCTCTGGAGGAATCGATGTGGAAGGTGTATTAGAAGCCCATGGGCTTCTATTACGTCCGAAAAATAATCTGAATTTTTTAAACGACACATTCGATCAATGCTGAACAGGCCTGGACGAAACAGTTCATTAATCTCATTCAGGAACAAACGATCGATGATCGGAACGAACACCGAAATTAGTAGAAGCCAGTCAGTGTGAATATGGGACGAAAGACTACCGACATATTTATAAGAAATGAACATGTTCTTTGCAGAGTATATCTTTTTATTTCCTCATTTCGTTCGACTTTTGGACTAAGAGAAAGACTTGTTTTTATGATAATTAATGAAGAAAAGAACATATTGTAGAGTAGTCTGTTTCTTTCTTTTACTTTAATTGTTCTTGTGTGATGTCATGTATAAAAAAGAAAACGAATAAAATTTACATTTTTTATCTCGAAAAAAATTTTTTTTCAGATTAATTGAGATTACCGTAATCAGAAAGGCAAGAGCATCAAAATTCAAGATCTCCGTTTTTTTCTGGAAATTTTTGTACGAAAGTCGTAATGGTAGCCCACCCCTAAAACTGTTGAACGCTTGGACAGTTTAGAAGCCCCGGAAAACTGGTTTATAAAAAAGCTGTCTAGATCATCCCAGAGGTAAACACTCGTCCGACATAGACGTCCGAACCAGTATGTGGTTTTACAGAGACCGGATCTCCAGAAAACCTTCTCAACAATCAGACTTTTTGAAAATGGTCTAGAACGATAGAGAATTGGATTCTGAACAAAGTAAGACGTTTTTCGAGCCTTCTGCGACTTATCGGTCAACAGAAATGTCCAAAAAACTAAAAAACCGAATTCGAGATATTTTAATTCGGTTTTTTAGTTTTTAGTTAAAATGGTAGTTTAAAGGTTTTTTAGTTAAAAATCACTTTTATGATGGGGGTCGGTTTTTGAGGTTTTTTAGGTCTTCACAGTTTTTCACATTTTCTCCATGAAGAAAGCTTTCAATAGCTGCGATGGTGATATTTGAGATCAGCTCGATGTGGCGAAGCAGAATATGTATAATAAAGGCAGAAAGAAGTTTACTGCATTTTTGCATTAGCTGAACCTTAAAACAGTTCAGTTTTGAGAGATCCGCCGTCTCGTGTGCATTCGTTTTTGTAGTTCCTGAAATGTAATGCGCTCGTCTGAGTTGTACGCCCAGCAGGAACTAAGTAATTCGTACATGTCGGCCGAACAGGAAGTGGGTTTTTCGTGAATTTGTCGATTGACTATTATGTATTGAGGTATGTCTGCAGTCTTATCAACGTTCGGATAAGGTTTGGTAGGATTCGTAAGCATGAGTTGAACAAGGACTAGACCATACGACCAGACATCAGTTTTTGAAGAATAACGGTACCGCTGATGGATATAACTTGCGGATTTTTTTGCTTCACTATGTTGAGGCAGCAATTCAGGTGGAAGAAATCGCCACTGAAAACGTTTTTCTTCGTCAACGCCAAAATGTTTCGCCTTTTCTGCAGAGGAACCGTCGGTAGGCTGCCGTATTGCATGACCAAAATCACAGATGTGCACGAATTCGTACTCATCGACAAGAATATTACCAGCATGTAGATCGCGATGTATAATCTGTTTATGTTCTAAGTACATCATTCCAGTTGCCAGCTGGAAACCAATTTCAGCAACTCGACGCATTTTGGATTCCTGTGATTTTTCGCGAAGAGGACAGATGGTTAATAAAGATTTACCATTGTGTGATAAGATCAAATAATGATAGTTCATGTCGGAAAATGTACCAAAGAGTGAGACAATTGCAAAATGCGATAGGTCTTTCAGAAGCTCAAACTCACGTGAGAAATGACAATCGTTTCGTTGGAACCGTTTGTAAAACACTTTTATATTTATTCCTAATCGAGTGTACATAGCTTCTCCGCACCCCGCATTGTTCATTCCGAAGATATGTCGTTTCTTTGCTTGCTCAGTAAAACTATCTTCGTTACCTTCCGTTCCATCAGGTTGACCGAAATACATTGTTTCATTTACTGACTGATTCAAATTCCAGACTGTGCCGTTCGATTCGTCAGGTAAAATGCATTGGCCGCAAAGAGGAGTCCATATCTTTTGAAGTTTCTGACTTTGATTGTATTGCTGTAGTAAAGCAAGTACACTTTCCGCCTTCACGTTCGCAAGCAAATAATGCACAACAGGAAACTTGTGTTCGGCTTCATCGAGCCGTACAGAGAGCATTAGGTTTGTTTCTTCCGATATGCTACTTGTCGTGTGGGCTACGGTTGAAGAGTATACTGGTGAAAGATTGTCACAAAAGTCATCCACAGTTGGTTTCCGCAAAATGAAGGTTCCCACTTGACTGAAGGTCAGCTCGCGCACGACGAATGAGAGTGACCGAACAGACTGAATTTCGATATGCGAATAGTATGATGCAGTCATGCGCCTGAAACATCGTACAGTTAAAAAGCATAGATCCAGCAATGTTGTTTTACTGATAAATTTATCTCTTGACAAAACCAGCAGTTACAATTTATTAGTAGATAAATAAATTGCGCCGTTTCTAGAATAAATGGCTTACCCACACTTTTTTCGAAATAAATGGCTCCCTACCGTGCAAAGAAAAAATGCCTCGTAGTAGGGAATTTCTAGCATAAATGGCTAGTTTGTAGAGAATAAATGGCTCCTATCGTGCAAAGAAAAAATGTGTCCTAGGACGGAATCTCTAGCATAAATGGCTATTTTCTAGAATAAATGGCCTTTTTTCTCGAATAAACGGCTAAGCCATTTATTGCTTCCTATAATAAATGGCTGTATGTGCGACGGGAAAAGCTTAGCGTTGGAGTCCGTTCTCTAGACAAAAAAAATTTGTGGAATCTTATAAGAATCTTACTCAATTCTTATATAAGATCTTCCACGAAAGTGATAAGAATTCTGCTGAATGTTATAAGAATCTTTTAAGAATCTCACAAGAATTCATAAGAAATTGGTAAGAGCCGGCAAAACTCATACGTTATTCTTATCAGATTCTTATGAGAAACATGATCGAATCTCC